ACAGGTAAATTCTCCGTCCTTCATCAACACCTTAAATATTTCCAGTTGAACATTCAATGTTCGAACATCAACAGCCAAAAAAGTGGGGGGCTGCCCCACCCCCTGCGCGGTCGCCATTTTGTAATCGCAATAAAGCAGGGTGATAGGCCTCCAGTTTTTTAGCAGGTTGGTGGGTTTGTTCTTCTTTGGTATGAGAGTAATCAATCCTCTTCTTTGAGTAATCGATAAGAGACTTTTTGCATATGCACAATTTAAGGCATTTAACAGATGCTCATTGATTTCATTCCAAAAGATTTTATAGAATTCGGCTGGGAGGCCGTCACTTCCAGCGCGCTTTTGTTTGATTCCATCGATTTTAAACTTTCTAAACATTCAGAGGCAGTCAGGAAGCCTTCACACTGTTTTTGCTGTTGCTCATTTAGGATAAGAGTATTTCCGTCTGGGAAAAACATATTTTCTTCCGTTGTGTCGGGTTGCGTATTAGCTGAAGAATAAAGATTCTGATAGAAGGATTTTGCTTCTTCTAGGATCTCGCTATCTGTATTGACGACATTATCATTTGCTAATGTGAGGTGTTTGATGGTTTTTTATTGAAATGTCGTTTTTCCAAGGTTAGGAAGTATTTTGTATTTTTCTCTCCTTCATTATGCCACCGAGACTTGGATCTTAATATTGCTCCTCGAGTTTTATATTTTGAAATTTCTTCTCTTTGTAGAATCTTAACATCTATTTTACTACAAATCTGGACTTTCTCATTCTCAGAAATGTTGTTTTCTTCTAACCTCTTTTGGAGACACAATATTTCAGATTCAAGTTTTAACTCAAGTGATTTCATTTTAGCTTTCTTTCTCCTTGCATAGTTTAGAGAGCTTGACCTAATTTGCATCTTCATGGTGTCCCATAATAGAATGGCATCAATCTCGTTATTGTTCGCATATTCATTTGCTACATCAGTGATTGTTTTCTTAATTAAGCCGACATATTCTTCATCTAACAGGAAAGAGGTGTAGTTTTACAGTTACTTTCTTTTCTGCAGTTATTTATGAAGACAAATTTATTCCGTTGAATGCTTTTTGTTGTAATAATAAACAAGACACGATGATCCAGTAGCTTGAGTCCAAGCCATTCTGATTTTCCTTAAGGGATCATTCTCTGACTCTCGGTCGAGGATCATTTGCGGTCAATTTTGGGGACCATTTGCGATACTGAACACCACCATTTTAGGGGAAAAAATTGGTCCCGGAAAAAATGTTTACATCATCTTTGTATCTACTACCTCTATTGATGCGACAAGGGATTCTTTTTAAGCCCCCACTAAGGGGACACCTTAGCACTCTGAAAACGCCAGCGATAAAAATCACAAAGGCCACAAAGAGGAGTACTTTGATTGTGCCGTCACTGCACGACTACAACGTGAAAATGCCTCATTTCTCGTTTCACAAGGAAGTACACAAGCGACCACGAAATTTCCTCTCTCTTTCTTAACTTGGATATGGTTCTTAAGAATACAACTTAGGAGGGCTCACCTACATTTGCGAAGTTAGTGACTTGGAGTAATCGCGATGAAGATTGAAAAAACACGAATTCACTTTTTCAGCGACGTTTTTGCTACCGTCGCCGTCCTCGGATCTTAAGGTGCTTCCCTGGTTTTGCACTGCGCATAACAAGATGGTCGCCGTAAAAAAGAGCATGTGAAGTAACATTACTAAAATGAAATTTACTGAAGATAAACGCTATTGGAATTTTTGCTTGCTGTTGTTTCTTGCCCAGGTGAGACTCGATGTGTTGGGAATGTGCATAACGTAAGCAGTACGCGTGTTGCGAAGTTCGACTTCCTCACGGAGAACCTCGATAGTGGATGTTTAACTTGTGCTTACTCACTTGATTTTCATTTAAACGCTTTCTTTATCACATTGTGTCCTAAACGTGATATCTCGATGTAAATTCTGTAAAAACGGATTTTTTAATACTTTCTTCCCCCTTTCACATACATTCTATTTTGAAACTCGCCCCAGTCCTCTCTCAAAAATCCGAGAAAATGCATTTGGTGCGCACTTTCTGCAGCTCTACCGCAAAAACGAGTACGGTGACCCCCATGTTTTATTTCATTATTTTAATAACGACAGTGCTTCCTTTCGATGAGAAAAAAATGGCACAAATCTATGTTCAGTTTTTTGGCAATTTTACTAAATTGTACGGATTGAGCTATCACGGGTCGAAGAGCGCGTGTCCAATTTAATTCTACTTTGGAGAGTAAAGTAAAAACAAGAGCATTAAAAGGCATTTTTCTGGTACGTAAGTGGATAGACGATACATTAAAAACAAATTCTGTGCGATACCACATGCATCATCGAAACAATCTCTCCTTTTTGTCTAGTTTTGGGCTGCCCGCAGTTTTTGTAAAAGGGTCCTAAATAGCCGTATTTGTCAGCATTGTGACGTCAACACGAGCAAGGTGACCCCCAATTTTTATTACTTTTTTATCATCTTCTTGACCTTTTACATCAGTGTACCAAGTTTCATCTACAATGTATGTTAGGTTCTTCTACTAAGGAGTCACCTTAAGGTCCCTTTTAAGCAACGAACGGCAAAAAAAAAACCCGACCATAGGTTTAACTGTGTAAAACAACTTTGCACGTGCAGCACGCTTTTTTTGTACATTTCTTAGCTGTCGTTGCACGACTGCGACATAAAACTTCCTAATTTCACGCGCCCGCTTTACAGAGTTGGTGAACACAACACAAAAAAGTTTCTTTTTTTTCTAAACTCAGATACGGTCCTTTCGGGTTAAATCCAGAAACTTTCGCCAACATTTGACAAATTAAATGAAATTGAATAAGATCGATGAAGTTTGAAGCAGTGCGAATTTTTTTGTCGTCATCCAAAAATTTTGCTACCATGGCAACGTGACGTGTGACCACTTCTCTCTATTGCGTCAACATTCTGAGAAACATAATGCCTCAATACACCACGAAACAGGATTTCCTCCGCTATACTGATATTTTCACGCCCCACTTTATCGACGATAGAGTATCTTCAGGGTATTTGCTTTTTAATGCGCGTGTATGAATACACGGAAATCAAGGGCCTTGATTCGGGGAAAATTACTTCATTGCTAAAAGCCAGAAAGTGATCAACTACGCGCATCACCTCAATCATCGCCGAAAATAAAACCACATGCTCATCACTAGCCTCCGTAGCAAGCGTTTCTGTGCGGTTTAGGAGTAAAGAACGAGGAACAAGAGTCAAAGACCGCGCAAAAAAATGGCTCTCGTTTCATTTCTCGCGCGGTCAAAACCGAAAATCCTGTTCCTCGGGTTTTTTTGGCTCCGAAACTAAACGGAAGCGGGTTAGTAGTTTATGCATGACCCCATAAAATGTCCTGAGACACTAGTGCCATGTCGTGCCTCTAGGCACAGAATTGTGACCCCATGTAGTAGTCGCTGCAGTAACTGTAGTAGCTGTAGTAAGTGTAGTAGCTGTAGTATGTGTAGTAAGTGTAGTAGCTGGCGTAAGTGTAGTAAGGGTAGTATATGTAGTTAGTGTAGTATCTGTAGTAAGTGTCAGTGGCGGATCCAGACCTTCAGATAAGGAGGGGGGGTAGCGGTCATCCACACCCTGAGAGAAGGGGGGGGACTGGTCTCCAAACAAACTTTTTTCCGCCCTTTGGGCCTCATTTTGCTCGAAAAGTAAGGGGGGAGCCAGGCCCCCCGGATCCGCCACTGAGTGTAGTGGCAGTAAAAAGTGTGGTAGCTATAAGAGCTAGTACTACACATACTACAGTTACTAGAGCTACTGCACTCAGCGGCGGATTCAGGGGAGGGGCCCGAGTGGCCTGCCCCCCCCTTATTTTTCGACCAAAATGAGGCCCGAAGGGCCAAAAAAAATTTTTTTGGAGACTGCGCCCCCTTATCTCAGGGTCTAGATGACCGCCCCCCCTTATCTGAAAGTCTGGATCCATCACTGACTACACCTACTGCATCTACTACACTTACTACACTTCCTACACCTACTACAGATACTACACTTACTAAGCCCTACTACACTTACTACACCTACTACAGATACTACACTTACTAAGCCCTACTACACTTACTACACCTACTACACTTACCGCAGCTACTACACTTACTACACCTACTACAGATACTACTTTACTACACTTACTATAGCTACTACACGTACTAGTTACTACAGCTACTACACTTACTAAACATACTACACTTACTACAGCTACTACACTTACTGCAGCTACTACACTCACAGCTACTACACTTACTACAGCTACTGCAGCTTCTAAATCTACACTTACTACAAACTACAGATGGTGTCTCAGGACATTTCATGGTCAACAACTGACCCATGGTGCCTTAGGACATTCCATGGGGTCATACATGAACTACGGACCCAGAAAGGCTTCCTACGCAGGCTAGCTCATCACGAGTTTCATTGGCATACAGTGAAAGTCGTCAAGATTCTTATTCCCAGTCTCCACGGTCCCCGCTAGGAACGCCTGGGAGCCCGACCTCCCGGACCTTTTGTGTCCTAAATATGAAGAAAAACGGCTTGCAGATTATGACCCTGGGTGCTACGCAACCTCGAGTAATGACGCAACAATCAAAATCGACGCTTCTAAAATATCAGTGGACGCTTCCCATCGCTTTCAACCAAGTACTGAGGTGGAGGAAAAAGTTGGTCAACCACACCAACCAAACACAGTTTTTTTTCCCAAAAGAACATGAAAAAACCCGACCAATCTAACCAATCGTAAATGGTTGATCCCCATAGAACACGACCTTTGTTAAAAAATAATCAAAGGATGTATCCTATGTATCTGATGCTTACTGAAATAAAGAAGGGAACTACCACAAGGACGTTAGTTATTCCCCAACATTAAGCACAGAGTTAAGAAGACAATGCTCTTTAAATAAAGTACAGTTTATTGTAAATAAATATTTGTTTTTATAAACAAAGCATATGTATTTGACATGTACGACTTAGCGCCGGCTATCCTCTGATAAGTCGAAATCCACGGTTTGTTTACGGAATTCCTGAAAATTAGACGACAGATATTACAACATTAAAAGGGGTTTTCTTTTGAGTCCTATGGTCAACTATAATTTCTCTAAAATTATCATTTTTTTCATGTCCATAGGTATTTACCACCTTGCAACATACGCGTATAGCTGTCGCATTTGCCTGCTGAATTTTTTATCACTTCAAAGCCCAAAAACAATAAAAAACTCCGGTGGGCAAATGCGACAGCTTTACGCGTATGTTGCAAATGAATCCACCCTTTGCCTACTAATGATGTAGGCGAACTCTCCTGAACAGAAATTGACCACTCCAGAAAATACCGTAACATACCCTGATACCATAATGCTCTCTGTTTGTCACCCCAAAATTTTGCATAAGCATTGTCTTCAGTTTCTCTTCGGAGTTAAAATGGCCCCAAGAGTAAAAAGTAAAATGAGGCAATTTCACGTGATAGTCGTGCAGTGACGGCAGAGAAATGTACAAAAAAGAGGGCTGCAGGTACCAAGTTGTTTTTTTGCTAATCTTAACCCATTGCTTTTTTGAACGTTCTCGTTGCCGTCGCTGTAGTGACATATTAAAATTTCCAAATAAAATGTCGCTTTTTTTAGTTTCCTTTTGAAAACACCCATGGAAACACGGGGTGAAACGGGTGACAAACAAAGTGCAATGAAGGAAGTCACGTACCTTTGTCACGTATACAAGGCACTGATGCAAAATGTTTCTTCGTTCTTGTCTTCAGAGTCGTTGATGAAGATGAGTAATTCAGCTTTCCCTGGAAACTGCTGTGGAGTGAACCGGAGTCCGATGCTGTGCGATTCACCAGGACCCACCTAATAATAATAATAATAATAATAATAATAATAATAGACAGGCACTCGCATATTAAATTTAAACAGCACTTCCAGTTATATGCCAGTTCAATTGTATATATTACACCCCTCGATTGATGTTAATGAACTGCTGCACGGACAGCGTATTACTCTCCACCCTGATGAGAAATTTTCTCTCTTCCACTACGTCTCAGCGAAAATTATTCTATTTTCTCATTTTCATTAAAAAAAGAATAGATTTCACTAAAACAAACTGACAAGAGGGTTCATCGATAAGGAAGTGGAATATACTGAAAGGTCTGGTTCACAGCCTGCGAGCAAGCTTTCCTATTTGGGCGAGCGAAGTGAGCCGCGCGAGAACGCGAGCTTGCGCGTCTTCTTTTCACGATATCCCCGAATGGACAGCCCACAACGCAGACGTTTTTAGGGGTTCGTCTCGCGTTCCTGCCCCACCAACGTCTGCTGGACCGAAAGGTAAATTTCTTTCCCTTTGTTTGTAAATATCAGCTGGAGATCACATGCAGATTATCGGAGATCCAATCGGCGGTGTTGAAGTCAAAGTGTGGACAAGCCAAACACACACGTACAAGTTCGGTAGAATGTGATACGTGACCAAAGATTTTTGCTCCGACGAGAATCTAGAAGATAATCGTTGGCTTTTTGTATATTTCTCTCTTTAAAGGCTGGATTAGATGACATTAATGCTGACAAAGTTGCTCGTTGGGTGATGCAACGGCAGGGTTACCTTGTAACTGAACAAAAGGCAGAATTTTTTTTCACACTTTATTGTTTTGTAGTAAAGCCGACTTTCGTTCAGCCAATTTAACCTCCGAGGTATTTTTTTTTTCAATGAGTTTGTGGGCCTCTAGTACGAACGCTTGTGAGTTAATTGAGTAGTTTGTTCTAAAGCTGTAAGGTCTTCCTTCACCTTTCATGAGACCTTTCTGAACTTTTCTGGAGCTAAGTTAAGCGCGAACTGTCTCAAGGTGCACTCCCCAGATCTGGAAGTCTGCAGTGATTGATCTACGTTTTTTTCGCTCAAATCAGCAGACGTTTGTGGGGCAGGAACGCGTGACGAACCCCTAAGAACGTCTGCGTGAGAGGCTACCAAATGGAGAGCTTGCTCGCAGGCTCAGTCTCTGTTTTTCTTCAGATTTAGTGAGGGGCGAAGCTGCGAGAGGCGAGAAACAAGGGCGCCTTTAGTCACGCGCGTGGTCATTTGCGTATCTCGAACGTTTTGCTCGACGGACCAAGAAAACAGAGAGACTGCTCGTAGTCTAGCAGGCTATCTGGTTCATAAAGAGTTGAACAAAGCTTCACGTGTCAATCGCCGCGTCTTTGTCGCTGTGTTTAAAAGCTAATTTCGTACCCAAATCGCTTGTCGTCGAGAAAGCCGACAATAGATCTGGGTACGAGCAAGAGCTAGAAGCCATTTTTTTTTTCAAAGTTACTTGTGGAATGGCAGGCGCAACAAGTGTTTACCTCAATAATGCTCTCCTTGAATTGCAGCAGATCGGGCCGGTTACATTTAAGGTGGAACGTCTTTTTCGTTGGATATGGATTTGTGAATGATACACGCTGGAAAAAAAATACGTCTCCATGATATCATTTTCTAAAAGCTACTTACTAATTCACCTTGAAATGAATCTAGAAGCAGGGGTTTTACAGATTAGTTTTGAAAGAAGTTATCATAAAACCTGAAAAAGTTATTCTACTCCTGATAATTATGGCTTGCTTGAAAGTGTTTTCCAGTGCTTAGCGTAGGATAGGTACATTTACTACGAGATTGGCGTAAGGTGGGTCGACCCAGTATTTTTTTAGGTACACCTTCCATCTTTGAATCTCTTATACTTAAACAAATTGATCTTCATTGCAAAAACATTATAGCACATGTATTACACATAGACTAAACTTTATTATGATATTATTTTCGGGGCGATCGGAATAAATGTCACGTGACAATCAGAATGACGTCACAATAGTTTTAGCTCTAAAAAGACTTTCTGCCCTTATCGGCATTCTTCTTTTGAAATGCTTTACGCTACGTATACTTTGGGTGAATGTCTTCTGGTATGCGAAGTTTCACAAACATCTATAGGAGGAATTTCGAGGTATCTTTGAATTTATACAGAAAAGGGTATAAATTATGCATGAACTGAAGCTGGAGGGGGGGAGCGTTACCTGACATCCAAAAAACGGCTGCGAGGGAGACTACCCAAGCGGTCCCTTCAGGATTTTCTGTTTTACGTCATCCTATAAACCATCTCTTACTTGCGGGCGCGAATAATAGAAACGTCGCCATTAACTACCGATTCTTCACGGCCCCTGTTCAAGCAAATCGAGATTTTTTCTGGCATACTGACTGTACATTTCAGTTGTAAGTACTTTCCTTAATATACGCGCGAGTTATTAGAGTGCCTCCTCTAGATCTCACCTTTTAGTTTGGTCTATATGTAATACATGTGTTTTAATGTTTTTACAATAAAGATCAATTTGTTCAAGTATCAGGGATTCAAAAATGGAAGGTGTACCTATAAAAATACTGGGTCGAGCCACCTTAAGTGGGCACCTAGGCTTTTAATCAGTATGCACCCTTGATTGAAAGCGCACTATCTGCCGATATACACGTCATTACTTTACCTTATTTGAGCCTTTTCCTCCTCCTACTTGAATCTGAAGTTCAAATGATTTAGAAATCACAGGCATCTGACAGGAGGCGCAAACCAGCCAGGTACGAACAAGCTGATGAAATTCAACATCTACGAAAGGCGCCGTTAAGAAAAAATGCCTTATAACCCTATCATTACTGAGCGAGGTACTGATCATGACCAAACAGGTCTACTTGCAGAACATCACCGAAGAGAGGCGCTCATAAGAAACAACCTATATAGCATAACCGGCAAACAATACTACAGTCAGAAAACATTCCACGTAAAACTTCCGGCATGTCTAATCGAACAGTAGGTAATCGAACCCAATCGAAATTAATCGAACGATGCTCAACTGTTCCATTCAGTCTGGGAATCTTTGTATACAATTCACGGCGTAGCAGGCCTGCCACGTATACTGTCTGCTTGCTTTTGGGTCGTTTCATCTATGAGTCATTTCAACCACGTTCGCTTGAGTGTCAAGTCGTTTCGCCAACGTGTTAGGGCAGTTCCCTACATTCTTTTGCTTAATCAGTGGCTTAAAGAACAAGGTATAAAGTGTATCGGCATTTTCTGTGGCATGGCTGAAAGAACGAGGGAAGACGTAACCGAACAGGTGTTAGCCAGGCGGGTGGGTGGGTGGGTGTTAGCGAAACGACACGTAAGTCAAACCGTCTACTCCCAGTCTACTTACGAGTACGCAAAAATCCCTTTTTTTTCACCTAGGTTAATTAATTGACGGAAGGCAAGATCTACAGACCCTCATTAGTGTGAGAAGCCTTTAATTGCACAAAGATCTCAAAGGATACCAACTACATTCACATACATGAATCGTGTTGTTCCGGATGAATGTGGCCGCAAAGTGATGTGAAGTTCGTGGACTGCATTAGCCATCAACATGATGGGGTCTGACGGCAAGACCTGTCGTTAAAACAAACATGTTTGACTTTTCAAACGTTAAGATTGTGATGAATAGCGAAACTAAGCGGGCGAACAAACACTAGTACAAGTTGAGACAGGGGAGAAGCCCTTCTCTTCTCTCACCAGTCTCCTCGCCTTATTATTATAATTATTATTGCAGCTTGTCAGCACCATCTGAACACAGGAGGCAACACTAAGGACACTAAGTTAGTACAACGTACCTGTAATTCCTCTGGATGCGATGAGAAGCACTGTACAAGACGACTGGACTGAGTCCCACGTAAAATCACTGACAAACGGCTGCTCTGGCCTTCTACGGCGCTCATATCAATTCTGAAACAGGAAGATGAGTCTGATTTAAAAAGGCCAACGGAAGCCACTATCAAACCCTGCTGCGCCTTCCACTACACTAAATTAGTCTTGTGTAAAACACAAAAAAATCGATCGAGGGAAATGAAGTCCAGGATTTTCAAGGATAGGACCTGGTTAACACGTGATTGACATCATAAATCAATTCCGACGACACGACAAGGCGTATTTCTCTCTCGCTCGTATGTAATATGCTTGCCCTCGCCACAATCTTGAGCCGGGGACTCAGTTCTAGCAGTCTGTAAGCTAATCTCAAAGAAAAATTATCTGAATAAAATCATTACATGAATTTTTTTCCCCGTCTCACGCGGAAAACTTTTATTTTGTTGGAATTTTACAAAGAACTTAGCCCGGCATTGGTCTGACAGCTTGTCTTTAAGGCACGATAAACATTTCTCATCGTATCCAGTACAAATTATCGAGTCTAGGTCATCAACAATTGATATACCATGACTTGACTCGAGTTTCCGAATTATTAAAAGCAGATTTTTTGACACTCTCCCTCCGCTAATGGTTCAGCGAATACTTTAGATATTCTTTAGAACCTCGGTAAAAAACAAAAACAACAACAACAACAAATAAATAAATAAATCGTAGCCTACCTCTGTAATGAATGCACATACAATTGCCAAATTTGACAAGGGTCGGTCATGAAAGGATCGCTAGAAAACAAAAACACGAATAGACGTCATCTCACAAAAAGTGCATTTAACGTGTGAAAGATCATCGCAGTTATTTAAGAAACTTAAACTTACAAATCAGACTTAACCGGGATTCGATCCTGTGACCTATGTGATAATGGTAATAAATTGTCCTCTAACCGTTTATGGGGCTTTTCAGAAATAATGAAACAAATAAATTTAAATGAAACATATCAAAGTTTAGAATCCCAACTGATAGGAAGCGAGAACAAATCCAGCCAGCGGTCAGGGCGGACTTGAACTCCGGGCCTCCGGGTTACAAGTCCAGCGCTCAAACCGCTCGGCCACGCTGCCTTCTACCGAAGCGGTGCTCTTACCACACAGCTATCAAGTCAACTGAGTTGTTAATACACGAATAAAAGACGAAGATATGAGGGTGAAAATGAGAAATTTTCATATCTTTGAACTGCGGGAAAAAATAATTATCGTCATTGCGAAAAGAAAGGTAAATTGTTCAACAGAACCGATTGGCATGTAGAACCACTTCCTTGCGAAAACCACTTAGCTACGGAAAAGAGTTCCAGCAGAACACTTACGATATACATGTACTTCGCCTGGATTGCAATCTCAAGTTATCTTACACCCGGGCCAGATGCTTTACTAGACTGCACAACAACCCGTATATTTGCTTAACCTTTTAAGCCCCAATATCCAGAAACGAATTCTCCTGACTGATCTATATACATTTCCTTAAAGAATGTGTTCAGAGAATTTGATGAAAGATCAAAGCGTTTTCTTTTTGGTGATCATTTTATTAATTCTCATGACCTAATCTCTTGACAATGTATTGGTATCATTAGGAGAAAATTGATGTCGGTCAGCATTGGGACGTAAAGGGTTAAGTCAAGAAAGCGCTTGAGCAGTCAAACGAGAGGACTAACGCGAGGGTGAAAACGCTTTCGCATCGCTTCGCACGAAATAGTCGACGCCAGCGATTCGCACCCTGAAAAACAGATTTTAAGAAAGACAAAAAAAGGCTCTTCCGCAGACTAAAGCTTCATCCGTTTATGAGCATAACCTAATTATCATCAACGAAACTGAACTTACATGAACAAAAGAACGAAGAACCTCTTAAGAGAAGGAGAAGGCCCACAAGCGATCTTGAGAAACACGTCTTGTGGCTCACCTGACGGCTAAGATAATACAGAGATTTAGAGTGACGTTTACGGAAAACGGCAAACGTCAGATTTAAGTTGCGCACTTCTCAAAAAAGAAAACGTGTAGCTTTAAACGGTCCAAAACAATTGTTATCGACAAAACTAACGTGAAGCTACTAATTTTGCGGTGGAAGTATTGAACAGTAAAACACAAGTTAAGGGAAAACTTGGTCGCGTGGTACAAATTCACGTTTGCCGTTTGCTGTAAATGTGGCTGTAACTCGTTTCATTGTTATGCTCACAGAGAGTGGCGGCCGGAAAAGCTTGAGCATAATTAGGAACTTTTAGCTTGGTCTACCGCCGCCCGGTTACCTTACCCTTGGTTAAGCGCCGGGGGTTAGACACGCGTGTCTCCCTCTCGCGCGCCCGTTCTTTCTTTCACTTCCAAGCGCCTGCTACGCAGGCTAAAATTGCCGATATTGTATTTATACATCATCAATTTACTCTCTCCTTTTTTAATCTTACGATCCTTTGAAGACCATGTGATATCCTTAACTGAGATACAGTAGAGTATTTACAACCGGTCCAACCCCTTGATCCTTCTTCACGGGGCAGCACTTCTCTTGCAATATGAAACCTCTAGTTTATTTAGTATACGGCTGCGAGGTTACAATTTCAAGTCGGTTGTGTCCCAAGGACGTTTGCTCTATCCTGATTCTGATAAGCACATATAGAGAGAATTTTGGTTTAAACAAAACCTACCTTAAAAACAAATCAAGACAACAATTTCCTACAAGTGTAGATTCGAAATCTGAACAAAAAACTAATTGTGACAGGTGAATGACACAGTGCTCAGTGTGAATAAAATATTTCTTTCTGGCTCCTTCTAGCAGACACCTACACCTAACTTACATCTCAGTAACCCGAGGCTGTCCCGCGCAGCTGACAAGAGGTGAAGTGACTGTGCTTGTGTTCCAAGCTAAGTCTCTAGTATAGTTATTTTACTTAACCTGTAAAATAGGTAGTAGGCTTCTACGCACTATTATTATTATTATTATTATTATCTTCTTTTATTTACTTGTAGCAATTTGGCATTAGACCAGTAAATGCAAAAGGTATTTTGATCAGCACTGCTTTAGCTTGTTTCGAATGAATCTTTGTATTCCGATAACACCCCGCTCGGATATAAGCCCCTTCGTTTATAAGCCCTCCTAAAACCCCTTACAAAGATTTATAAGCCCAGGGCTTATAAGCAGCAGTTTACGGTATGTTTACGTTTTGTTGTAATAAGTTTTGTTTTGTTGGACAAGGGAAAGTATAAAGTGTTTTAAACTCCCTAACAGATCTCTTCGTGCACAATTCAACGAGCTAACTATTTAAAACTCACCAGTTTTCTAGCTTCACAAACAGCGTTAACATCACTGCACCGTACATGAAGTTGAGGTTGGGCATTTTCATCCATAACTGGTGCACCTGAATAAAAACAATCAAGGCGAAAATTCATCAATAATTTCAACACCTGTAATACTCAATGGGAGTGCAGTCCTAGCGAGACTACATCGACTGAAAAAATAGGGCCATTTATACGAGGAAAAATAAGACGCATCTTACATAAGACGCGAACTGTACCATTTATACGAGCATGTCTTATCTATAAGACGCGTCTTAGCTAAGCCGCGTCTTATTTTAGACGAAATGGGACGTTTATACGGAAAGTTCGCGTCTTATTTTTGCTCGTATAAATGGCCCTAATGTCCAGATAGTTTTAACTGTGGTGACAGATACCCTGAATAGGGGACTGCTGCCTACCTGAAAAAATCAGGATACGAAGGCGTTCTTGAAAGATTTATCGCGATTATTCCAACATGCTAAATTTGTCAAATCTGAGCGAATTTTTTCCTTTTTAAAGAAAGCAGTTATTTCAGCCCCAAAACAAGTTTAACAGCTCTTGAAAACACTTAGAGGGTGCTTACACCGAGTAGTAATTAAAAAAGACTGAAGTTTCACCACATAATAAGCGCCGAAATAAGGAGTTTGAAGACAAACAAAACATTATCAACAACAACAACAGCAATAAAAAATATATATATCCAATGAACACAAGTATGACGTTAATGATAAAAGCTCAACTTTTCTCGTCGAACGGATAAACCTAGCAGTTTATAACTGGTGAAGCCGGATCATCATGGGGCAAGGATTACGTAGTTGGAGCCTCATGGGACTCCGGTGGCCCCCATCTTTACCTGGTAAGGTACGCCAGGGTGGTAGTCTGATGGTCTTCTTCAAAAATGACTGTTCAGCGTGATAAAATCTAAACGTTCTGTCAATCACATGAGGCCGAGGCTCCACCAGAACAATCAGAATAGCAATAGGGCACTCATCCTTGTTCATAAATGACACCTGGAACGAAACAGAGAGGATAATGAATGGCAAGGGAAAGAAAATCAAACTACATACTGCATACATGTTCATGCAATGATTATTGTTATTTCATCTCGGGGTTATAACTATGCTGCAAAAACTACAGGAGATTCTTGTGTGGCTTGCTGGCCAGCCGACGGCAAGATGAAACGAATCCCGTGTTCTGATTGGCAACCGGTTGGGAAAACAATAAACAAACAAAGTTAACAATGGAAGCTAAGGCCTCTCATGCCAAACTGTTCGAGAGCTAGATTACATTGCAGAGAAAGCAAAGACCAGAAAAAGACAAAGTACGAAAGTGACTATTGGTAATCAATCATCACCTTTATTTGTCGTGGTTTTATATTGTTATCCTCTGATGTATTTGTCTTTAAGTAGGTTTGAGCCTGCTGTTTCAGCGGATGTGAGGGACCCTGTAGAAGAGAGGTATTCAAAAAGAATTCCAGGTAGCCAAACTGTAGTTTTCCCAAACGTTTATCATAAGGTGGCGAAAACGATCACCGCTATTTTCAGAGTTTTTGGCCAAAACTTTACTCACAATTAGCCGCTTATCATAAGCTTTGTTTCAAGAGATTTGCTTTTACATGTTGAAATAATTTAAAAGAGATTGAAAAACATACACGCCTCCGTTAGGTATGCTACGGGTAAATAAATTTAACGCAAACATCATCACGTGTACCTGTTCAGGAACGCTGTGGTCCGCTCTGAAGGTCTGGAACTTAAAAGGTACGTGAACAGTTTCTCTAGGCTTTAAGAACAGCTGTGGGTAGGGGCTGGTAGAGGAGCTATCAAACATGTTCTCTTCCAAAGCTGTAATAAATCAAAACATAAATGAGTCACCATCTAACGCACAGGCCGAGTAGTTCGCAGAGTAACTTCGCCTTCAGTTATTTTAAGACCCTGAGTAACGGTCCGCCTCCGGCCCCGGGAGACCATCGTATTAAGCTAATCTTGTGTGGAAACTGAAACAAACAACCCATTAAATACTAAACTAAACGTCTTTAGGCTTTCTGTAAGGATTTTAAAGGGTAAAATAAAGGTGGAAAATGCCCGCCCTCCAAACTGATAATGTAAGAAAATACCCGACATGTAAGTGATCGGCGCTGACTTGATAAAATTTCCTGTAAGAGCGATACTTATGACCCACAGCCAGGGTTTAGCTAAGGCTGTTTTAAATTTCATTTTACATAGATATTAAATCTACCTGAGCGCGTATTGGTTTTCCTCTTAAAATGCCTCCACTCTCTCGTGTCTGTGATTACTCTGTAAAATGTAACCTCACGTTGTTAAAGCAGAGCGAAAAATTTGATTACAGTTTATAAACCTTTCTAACAAAGCGTCAGTTTGAAACTTCAGAAAGTTTCTATACTTTCAGGAAACCCAAACAACTCTATTTCTCTAATTGAGATGAATTCAGTTGATGGAGTACCATTTTGGTAACCTTACAAAGAATGTCTCAAATGTCAAAACGCCCTAAAATGCACAATGAGTGAATCGACCAAGCACAAGATTACGGAGCCGATCTCCTTCAATGTGACACGATGGACTAACACACCACAATATGCATGTAGCAGGCAAGCAGTAATACATACTTAAGTTCCTGATCATCACAAATTATGGCAACATTCTGGTCTGTGGAGTAAGGATTTCTCAGCACAAACTCGAAAAACTCTGCCGTCCCAAAGGATGGGTATATTTGATGACTAGTTGTGATGTTTCCAGCGAGTGAAGATAAAATCTTTTCATGTCGTAGCCTCTCTCTGATGGGACAAAAACCGTTGGATTCGTCAATAACCTTTAAGAAAAAATCTAAAACAAAATCCTCTGGTCAATGAATGTTCTCCCGCCGGTAGCAGGCTGACCAGGTGAGATTTTCACCTCACTCGTGTTTCACCAGGTTGTTCAGAACGTCATGTGAAGCAAACGTTTGATAAAGAAGATACCAACTCTGCACATGCATCACTTTTTCTGATTGTTTCTTTGCCGTCACGACTGCACGACTACGACGTGAAATTTCTGTTTATGTCCCGTTTTGTAAAGTTGGGTAGGGTGCCCTAGAATTACACTCCAGAAAAAATTTCTTTTTATTTGAAATTCCATCGTGGCTGGATTAATTTTTAGGAAGTTTGGATAAACGCGAAATTGTGTTAAAGATGACGTTTTGGCTGCCCTCGCCGTCGTCGTTGCTAAAGCTTTCAAACTTTCCAGATGAAGTAAGCCCAAGCTTCGCCTTTGATTTATCTTCCCGTAAACGTATAAGGTACATTTTGGGAAAAATAGGTGGCACCAGGCTACATATGTGAGATACCTCAAAATAGATGGATCCCCACTGACTTTCCACTAACCGAGGTGATAATTTGCGTGGTTTACAAACCACGGCCGATACTGCATATCTGTTTCTCATTGATTTGTTTCGTTTTCATTTAGCAGCGCCTGAGGTCGTTGAAAGCGCTCTAATTTATTCTCAGGAGTAGCGTTTTATGCTCAAATGTTTCAGCTCAGTAACAGAGTCATCTACTAGTGGGAACTGAGGCATGCAGTGGCTTTTGGCCGCAAAATTCAAAATGCTTTAGGGCTACAAAGTTTACTTGCCGATAGAGCTGAATAGTCTTGAGATCCCTTGTTCTTTGTAACTTTTCCTCTTTTTGAATCTAAAAGGTTACATTTCAGGGTTAGTCATCCACACATACCATTTTAAAAGTAAAACAAACTAATTAAGCAGTTATCGGATGAGGTTGAGTATGACATGAAGAATTATGCAGATCGTCTCGACTGGGGTCTTGTAAAACAGCCTCCTAGACCTGTATAATTCTTTAAATCATACGAAAACATCATTTAAAAAAACCAAATCTAGTAGTTGTTCAATTATTCATTCAAAATATATCCAACCTCAAAACATCAAGTTCCCGTCTTCAAAACAGTTCCTCGTGCGGGTTCATTTTCCCGAACGGCAGCTGGTAACGGTGCATAGTTTCAGCATAACAAGGACTGTTTATCCGAGCTGAGCAGATATTCTTCTTGCTATTTTTGTGGCACCAGTTCACCTATTCCGTCTTCGCATTCCGCGTGAAATCTTCCTCTGTTACTTCCAGCTCTGCACTGCCAAAACAGATGCGGGACCGCAACGTCTGTAAATGTTCCTTTTTGACATCAATTGAATTGATATCGGCAAATATTTTGAATGAATAATAATTGCTGCTCAATCAATCAATCAAAGACTTAATTTAACTTCGAATTAGTTGATAGCAAAACTGCTAATATCTCTTCCCACTATAAACAACGCATGTATATTTTACTTTTTAAACTATATGAATGAACACCATACTCACAGGGCAAAAAGTACTGTATTCAAGGCTAGATATAATTATAAAACTCAACTAACTATTAAATTGCCGGTGGAATTCTCAGCTCCTTGAGTCTGTCGAACAGCCTGCATTCTCTCAAGTTTTCTATGTACAGAACAGACAACAAAGAGTTAATAGCCTTAATAGCAATATACACTTTACAAAACATTTCATTTCTGATACTCTAAAGGGAAAAGTTGTCTTTACAATAAACTTCCTCTAACATAAGTCAGTGGTATTTGGGTGATCATGTTTGTCATTATGACATGGTAATCGATCACAAGCCGTGCAGCAGTCAGTTACGAGTCACCACTCACCTTTTTCTTATAGCATCAGCTTCTCTCACAGGCTGGTCATCTTTGGCAATTTTTTCCTGTCTACTGAACAGCAAGGCAGCAAGTTCTGAATCACATTCAGCCATCTGCTTAGCCTTAATTTTGCTACATTTGTTTCCTAAAAACAAGGTGAAGTGGGTTTAGTATCCTCAGTACCCTAATCAGCTGTTGAGTAGCTGGTATCTGGTCGATTCGCCCGATGGCTGGTCGCCCGGACGTGATTCGCCAATGTGTATTTGTCTTTCTTTTAGCCTGAAAAAGAATAAGTGTGAAAAGACGGTGACTGTACATGTGGAATCCAAGCGTAGCTAAAACTAAACTATCACGGTTGAACTGTGATAGGAACGTTGACCGTGTTGTATGTTATCTGGCGAATCGACTGAAGTCAGGGCGAATGCCGTGGGGGAATTGACTTTCGGGCGAAACGATCGCGCGCAATTCGAGTAGCTTTGTGCGTTGTTGCTTACCTCCCGAACCATTAACAGACCCATTGTCTCTCATGACAGTTTCTGACATAACAACAGTGGAACGTTTCTTGGGAACTGTACCTGGTGCAGATCAAAGTAATCAGACTATTATAATTAACATCTTCTATCTATCCAGTAACAAGACCAAGACAAACTTTTGTTTTTGAAGTGGTTATGTGTTATGACAAATCTCTGTAATGACAATGTTTTGAAAGTCCGCCCTTCATTTAACGGCAATCCTTATAACTCCCGCCACCAGTGTTCTACTCCTCATATTCAACTCTTTGATTTGGCTCCTTGGCCACATCCAACAAATTGGAACTGGCAAACACAAGAAAACAATGGACACTTTACAAACCAAGTTTGCCCTTTGGTCCTTCACTTGGGTGACCAATATTTGCTAGACGAAGATGTAACTTCCCCTCTACAGCAGACTTGATTCCCAGAGGCCTTATGGTGCCAGTACGAGTCTAAAAATGGCAAAAGAAGGCGTAAAGTAAGTAGGCCATTTACGAGTTCCCCCGGGCCTCTGTTTCAAAACGAGGGTAGATGTACAGCCTTTGATATGGAAATCATTTTTCATTCTCATGCAAATAAAACTCATTTTCACAAGAAAGGTTGTGCACGTAGCCTCATTTTGAAAGTGAGGGTTTCTGGAACTCGGAAGTGGCCTATTAACTACCCAGTCAGTCAGGTAACAAATGCTAAAGCTAAGTAGTTCTCATTGTATGATTTCAGCTGTCAATACATTTTAATCATCAGCTTGTCATTCTTATTTGAATTAATAAGCCATTGGTTGTGGTCTGGTTTCCTTCCTGCATAATTATTATCCTTAGCTAGAATTCTATGTATTGATAGGTACTAGAGCTAACATTATAAAGATTTCAGAAGGAATGGACACCGCAGGCATCTTATCTAAGGAGATATCAGTATTTTCTCTCGCTACTATGATTTTTTCTCAGCCTCAGTCAGCGATTTGACTTATTTGAAAAATTTATTTAATATATTCAACCTTGTTCCCAGGTTCCTCTCCTACTCGTCCTCGGGAGTAGGAGAGGACCCTGGGAACGAAGTTGATTTTATTCTGGCATACCTAAATACAGGCGCACATAAACTGCATGGTTACATGGAAAATCATAACAATAAAAACAGTAAATAATTAGTGCTGATACCATATCTGTAGCTTGCATTGGAGACTCTTCAGAATACTCAGTGGATACCACATCCAGTTCATGTGCTACAACCACAGCTTCGCGGCCCTGACGTAACAAATGCTGATAAAACAATCAAAGAAGTGAATTAACTGTACTATTTTGACTAAATTTGTTCTGGTTTGCGTGACATGTTGACAATAACCGGTTCAATTTTAAAAAAAGGGATACAGCTGAGCAGCATATCAATATTTATGAATATCATGATGTTTTCTTCTTACCTTTAGCTGTAGTGACGTAGAGCCTATCAGAACGAGAGAGTCTCCATCCCACACATCAATATGCAATGCCTGCCCCAGTAAATATTGACTAAACACACGGACCTCTCCAGGTTGCATATATGAAGGATCTACCAAATATCGCAACTACAAAAAATACATGACATCAAACAAAACATGAGAATATTGCTGTGCTTTGAAGGTAGGAGACATACAACACTTCTCAGCTGTCTGTATATGTATCAAAGATCTACTAGCTTTATACTGCAACTAGATAGACTAGCAAGCAGCACAGTAACTCCAATTTTTATTCTAACACACAGAACTACTCAGGAGGACTTTTGCTCAATATTGGGCCAATCTACAGTGTCCATACAGCTATAGATTTATAAAATCTACTTAACGCTCCAGGTACTGTGATTTTTTGTAGCCCAAGATCTAACAGAGTACAGACGCACAGCTGAAGTAATATAAAATATGAGTGAAAAATGTTTGAGAAATTATTACAGACTAAGCAAGTGAAGGCCTCAAAAAAGTTTAGTGGGGGTCATTAGCAAAAGTAAACGTGAGGAAAAAAGCAAAGGAGGCAATAAAATTGTTCTTCACAACTTCAAAAATGTCCATACCGGAGAACAAAATATCTTAGAACGGTCAACCCTGCGAGGGTTTAGCCAGTGGGTGGTATTGTGTCAGTTGTGTAAATCAAACATACTCCACTTTGCTGTGTCTGTTCAGTTTTACACCACAGAAGGTATCAAATGTGTTAACAAATATGACTGTATCAGTCGGGATGAGTGATATCTCACCATAAGTCCAGGCAATTCATCTGATAGTGATCCATCTTTGTTAAACTTCTGCAGCACACAAGGAATACTTTGGGACTGGCCATCAGTATCCTTTAGATAAACTCTAAAGAGTGAAGGATATATTAAGGTCATAGGACTGTAATCTCTGACAGCCCAAGCAGACATCTGAATGCTCTGCAGTCAAATCACTGAACATAATGCTGAATTAATTTGAATCGAATTGTTGAATTTGAAATCACTTTGTCACCACAATAGACCTTTTTACCGATACGGCGGCCATATTGAATTGATTCGATTTAAGGAGTATCATAGGATGCCCAGTGCATGAGCACATTTCGTTTGTATTTTCAAGCGCTTTTCGGGAGATTTTTTCTTAAAGTTTACCTAGAATAAGATTCTAATGGGAAAAAAGATCCTTGTGCTGTGTTCAGGATGTAATAATGATCCCCTTTTTCCCGAGAAATATACAGTGAAAGACCATATTTCTAATACTAAACTAGAAAAAGGCGATCATTGTTACATCCAAACACGGCACAAGGATCTTTTTTCCCATTAAAATCTTATTCTAAGAGAACTTTACGAAAAAATGTCCCGAAAAGCACTCCAAAATACAAACGAAATGTGCTCATGCCCCCTGGGCATCCTATGATACTTAATTCAATAATAAATTAATTCAGTATGGCCGCCGTATCGGTAAAGAGGTCTATTGAAGAGAATGTAAAATCATGGGATAAGAAAAAGAAACAAAGCACAGAAAACAGATAAAACGTAACCCACAAACCTACAATCAATACTATCTTTTCAAAAATCTAAAACATGTCGTCTTATCAAAAATAATGTATGGTCCAATTGTTTTTTGTTTAAGACTATTATTTAGGCATCAAAACTGTTTCCTGTTGCATGCGTTGCTACAGATGGCAAGCATAGACGTGGATTAAAACTTTAGGCCATTTTTTTTTATTGTCATGCTAGGCCTACAAAAATAACCTAACAAATTACTATTGTTGGTGCTCCCCGATAAAATTTGCTTAAATGATGCATAATCCTCATATCACATTCACTACAGGGGCATTTTTTGAGGGTTGTGAAGGGGGGTACCAAATCCCAGTTCCCAGCCTAAATTTGGCCCAAATCCCAGTTCCCAGGCTAATTTTTGCCAAAATCCCAGTTACCAAATCTAAAAGTTTTCGGTGTGTATAACGGCGTTATTTGCATTGACGTACTTGATTTCTAGTACCATTTTGCGAGAAACCTATTCCGAAGCCATTTTTATCTTCCCTTCATAATATCTTCCAGCCATATGCAAACTTGCCGAACTTGTCCGCTGACCAGGAAAACTGACAGAATGTAACTATGCAACCGTGTAAGCCTGGTAGCTAGACCGCGGGCGCGCAGGCGAAAAATACTGATTTCACGGTCTCTACTGAGGAGTGCAAGGTCTATTGCTACGAAATTTTATTTTTCTATTTCAAAATATTGGAGCAAAGACCGCTGAAGAAAAGAAATCCCATTCCCATTTTATAATTCTTCATCCCATTCCCAGTGGCTAAATCCCAGCCCCAGTGAGTAAATCCCATTTTCCCAGTCCACAATAAGGCTAATCCCAGTTCCCATTTTACCCCTTCACGACCCTCTTTTTTGTATGGATAGAGGTACTAATTATCACTATAGCACAGAATTGACATAAGAACAACAATATGCTTGTGACAAAACCCTTTACATAACACCTCCTGGGTATTCTTGTATTCTGATATAGCGGCAGCAAGAGAAGAGATCCTGACATGCTATTTGATCACCAAATCAAGAAGCCATGTAACACTTCATACTTTGTACAGTAACAAACACCTTTATGGGGTATGAGCACTCATTCTCCACAACAAGGGGAGTACAACATAGGTTTAGAATCTCAAAATTGATGAAGGTTAGGTATTTTTTATTAAGTGTTGAAGGAACGATTGCATGATGCAAGACAGGTTTTCAGTAACACTGTTGTACCCGTTACTCAGTGTGCAAAGAAAGAAATGTTTGATAGCCTGGGAATGGTGGAATTTGCAATCCATCTGGTGATGCCTGGCAATGGGCAAGAATACCTGGAGTAGTCAGTCGATAAAAATTGGTAAATCTGATTTGATTGATATGGATTGTCTTGATCAATTGGTAGAAATCAATGACGTTTATCGATTTATCTTGATTTTACCTTGATTTCATGCAAACAGTAAATTTGTTGACAATTGAGTTGCAATTGAAGTCGAAGGATCAAACAATTATCACTTTTTAAAAAACTCTTATTTTTTCTTAAAACCAGGTTTAGAATCTTCTTCTGATGGCTGCTATTAGCCAGGTTTGTGGGATATCTTAACTTTGTATTTTTCATGATACTTGCATGTGAGAACTGAATGTAATTAAACTGAACCGTTTTTATTATTTTGTACAAAATAAAGGGTTTTAGAGAGAAACTGGTGTGTGTAATAGTTTCACATTCCTCATCTTAATGTTTGTTGATCAGATGTTACTCACAGATGTGTCTTCTCCACTGTACTATCTAACTCATGCAAAAAAAGAACAGTGGCTGACTTACCTTATAGATCATTAAAATCATGAAAAATCAATAATATCAATTTGACACAGCAATTTAGTTTATCGATTTTCACCAATTTCCATTATCAATCAATAAAAATTACTTGATTGCTACCAATTTTTATCAATTGCCTGCTCCAGGAAGTATAGTTTTCTGTGGGAATTCAAATTAACAAAATACTGTAAGACAAATAATTGCTAACATTTCAAATAAATTTGTGTCGAACAAAAGCTGTTTTTCCAGCTGATGTGACAAATTGAAATTTGTACTTTCATGCATTATTTCAATGAATTAATAATTAAAAGCAGGTAATTAATTAGCTAATGGTGTTATTAGTCAATTTAAAAAATAAATTATTGTTAATCCAGCTTGTCATTTTTTTGAGGAGGGAGGGGGACTAATGACCATGACTTTTTTTGCACCCTAGTTAGTGATGAAAAAGAATGAAGTCTCATAAAAGAAGATAATTACTGTATCAAAACAAGAGTTTAACTTTTACCACAACATTAAAAATTGATTGCAGAAAATTGTAACCACAGTAAATTTAAACACACCTTTCAGTGGTAACTTGAGGGAAACGGTAAAACTGGAATGAGAAAAATGCTGTCCTGTTGTAGCACCTTAAAAAAGTATAATGAATGTAAGAATACAATATATTAATGATAATAAATATGCAAATTAAACTGCATGCAAGCATTACTATCATTCGAAGCAAATTTTTCTTTCTTTTCATTGGCCGAGAGCCCACCACGTGACCTGCAAATGACTGCCTACAAACAATGGTCTGCTCAGGTGCAATGCTGTCCAACAGAGTTTGGCTGCAAATAATATTCTGCTTATGCATAAAGGAAACCGTGCTTTTCTCCTTCTTGCGATCACTCTTGTCTGAAAATGAGAGATCAATGGTGTGAAGTATATGAAATAATCACTTTCATCTTCTACCGCAGTTCAAAAATGAATTATTTCATATACTTCTCATCATTTCACTCCTCACGGGAGATATGAACTCAATAAATTGACCTCCCTCCCTTCATAGCTCAGTTGGTAGAGCAACGCACCTGCAACACGGAGGTCACGGGTTCGAATCCTGTTGAAGCCCTGATTTTTTTCAGGCTTCTTCTTTCCAATTGCTTAAATTGGAAAATTTACTGCGATGATCATTCTTCGCTTTCATATTCTTTATTTTTTGAAACACACCTTGAAAGTGCTAAAAACTGGATAATAATCTCATTGCCAAGAAGTTGATCCACTCCTTCATTTTCTAAGTTAAATGACAGTTCCTCTTTGGGATCAATAACCAGTGGAGGGTTACCATGACGATCAACAATTGATGGGAATCCAGCACTGGAGAGTCTAGCATAGGCAGCTCGAGATAATGTTGTTGGGCCACTAAAGAATGAAACAAATTTGTTTGCAGAATTTTTAGTAATAAAAGTACATGCCTGCATCTTTTAAGATGTACTGGTCAATAATTATCAAGAGGTTGCTTTCGCTCTTCTCATTTTTTTTTTACCTATCACCTTTTGTAAACATAGTACATCAGACTTTTCTAAAAGGTAACTGTATCAGAGCTAAAAAAAAGTATAGTCAGTGTCCAAGGGAAGAAAAGTTAAAAAGGATTTCTTAATATTCTGAAAGTCATTACCTTGACTGCCCTTGTCCTGTTCCTGTGAGAATTAAAGGTGAGTGAACTGTGCTGTATGGCATCTCAGACAAGTGAGTCACAGGACTGGGGGCACCTGGGCGCGGGATTACAGGGGTATACTAAAGTAAAAATAGAAATAAAAGGATCAATAAAAAGTGGTGAAACATAATAATGAAATGTTATCTAGAAGGTGTTAAATTCTAAAAGATTACATGCATCTTTTTGTACAAAAGCCCAACGCAATACTTAAATTAATATTGCCTTTGAAAGAATGTTATACTAGACATGTTTTGAGCCACTTGCACAGGAAGGCAGAAAGCCAGAAACTGTGAAGTAACATTATGTATAATGGGCTCATTAATAAACAATAAAATCATTTTATTCTCTGTTTTTACTGTCATGCCATCAAAAATAAGAATGCAAACCATTCAATGCAGAAAGTCCAGAATCTGGGAAATAAAAGAAGATTCCTGTGCGATATTTCATATGCGAGATATGCAGAAAAGCATTTAACCCAAATTTATAAAGCTTTGTATGGAGACGCAGGGTGCAAAGAAAATCATTTTTAAAACTTGCCATTTGGACAAGCTGAACCTAGAATTTACTAGCCCAGATGTCATTTCAACTAGCCCCAAAAGCTTTTTGATAAGCAGAATTAATTTCTGTTATTCCAATTCCTCAAAAAAAATCACTTGCCCATCGGGCAAGTTAAAAACAGAATTCACTTGCCCAATAGCAGAATCCACTAGCCCCGGGCTATCGGACACGACTTTCTTTGCATGCTGAGATGCCATGTTTGTGTCCCTTTGAGGGGCACAAACATGGCTGCCGGGAACAAACAGAATCATCTGTCTTTGATTTTTCCTACAAATGGTGAATTCATTGTTTGAGGAACTCATAAAGATTAAACTTATAATCATTCTGAGACAAGGAATGTTTAGATAGCAAATCTCAAAAAATCGGTAACGTTTTTAAAATAGTGAACTTATGCAACAGGACGGGAGAGGAACGAAGATGGCAAACCTTGTGTGACAAGCATGACAATAATTTTGTTTGAAATAACCTGTTGCCAAACTTCACTCTCCTTTAAACAGATCATTTCATTGAGACCAGGAAACACTAATGTTAGGTGAAGATCATGACAAAACACGCACGTAATAGCCCCGTCACATTTGTCACGCACAAGCATTTTGTTGTCCTCTTCTTCCTGCTGTCCTGTTGCATAAACTCATTAATAGGTTTCCAGGCTGCCAGCTAAATGCTGCAATACAATACAATACCCTTTATTTAACGTGGTCAATGTTTAAAGCTAATTAGCTACTTTACAGACATGCTACGAAGCCACGCAAAAGCCTGAAAATTCAATCGTCCTTTCTTACAAAACAAAGAACCCTTTTGAACAGTAAATTTGTATTAGATAAAGTGTTTAGGTGCTGTAATACCTAATGGAAGAAGACACTCAGAGGAAGCAATAGTTTCTTAGTTTCAAATTTGGAGACGTCAGTACGCTCACTCTGATTGGCCAAAAGGAATGTTTGCATGAGAATAATTACATAAACACAGCGGTGATGACGAGATGTTTTGCTGTGCATGTGCTAATATTGCAAGCACAAAATAATATGAAAAAGGTTTTGAGATCAAAACTCTAAGTTTACATTATTTAGCTTTTTCCTCATTGGCTGAAACTTGGAAAATCTTAACAACACACTGTGTCAATTTTTTTCTGCTCAAGCTGACATTTTAAATGAGAAAAACCTGTATTTTGGAAAGCATCTTTTTTCAAAACAAGTACTGATTTCGCATACAAAACTTTGTGTACAACATTTCATGACTGGCATGAATTTCTGTTTTAATCAGTGCCATAAATAAAGAGTTTTGCTTTTTCTTGGGAAAGGTATTTTACAAAAGCAATAGAAAACATCCATAGCCTGATATAAACACTTGAGTAGTTGGGAAAATTCTCGATAGTTTTGCAAACCTGAGACGAACACCCTCTTGTATTTATGGCAGGCTATGCAAATATGGAAAGCGTTTTCTATTGCTTAAATATAATTTACACTGGATTCATTCAAACATTTACCTGCGAAACAGACTCTCTTGGTGGTACAGCTGGATAATCATCTGACATCCTAACACAGAGGGTAAAAAACTGTTGCAAAAAAGGTGTACAAAATCATACATTGCAAGGTTCATCGATGTTCTGTAAAGAGGCATTATTTACTTGAGCAGGAACTGTGCTGTTGTTTGAGTCCTGATATCAACACCATATTTTGGTTGAGTCTGTTGTCAGTTCTCTTCTGATAACAGGTTTCTCTTTGTAAACTCCAGTTTTCCCCTCTCCTCTAAAACCAACACTCAAAATTCAAATTCAATCTAGAAAGTGTTTGCAACTAGTTAGGGACTCCTAGGGCCTGAATATATGAGGTAAGCAAGCCTGGCAAGCTGGGCTGGGCTGGGCTGCTTTATCAGGCTGGCTTAGCTCATGCCTTATTTCCTTGTCAAGTTTATACCTGAGAAGGCTGGTGGGACAGCTTGCTGAGATCTAACCTTGAGCAAACCATGGATGGTATTAAACATAACAGGTTTATCAGATCTTGGAACTGTCAAGTGTCACCCTCTCTAAAAATAATTTTTAGTGTAGTTTGTTTCATTTACCTATGTACTGGTGGTCGTGGAGGCCTGGATGCCAGCCCAGGTGTTAATGGTATCCCTTGTTGTACACCATCTACTAAAGCATTGCTATCAAATGGACCAGGAGAAGGTAGGCCAGGTGAAGTTGGTACCATCAGCATCTGAGAACCCTGAATTGAGGAATGCACACTGCTGGTTCTTCTGTGCTGCTGAGTGAAGAGGAACTTCAGAGTTCCACCTGACTTGGGTACCTTGGAATAGAAAATGACCAGTTAAGTATTGTACTGGGGAGTGGCAATGATCACTCTAAACTCCTTTCTCGCCAGCAACATGTATATCCTGAGTGCAGAGCGCTTCTGTGAGAGTATACGTTAAGGTGATAGGGCAGAATTGGAAATTTAATGCTATCATAGGCAAACAGGAAAGGACCTTTGCAATACATGTACAGTCTTACATTCATCCATCAATTTACTCAGACGACCTTTTTTTTAACCACATTTTCCTCTGAGTACTGCAGTGCATCAGAACTTTTTATACTACATACCCCCACATGCCTCTGGATAAAGAAGCTAGTAGCTGTGAAAAAGTAACCAGTTAACAACCGTGGCGAGTACTATATTTGCTATACACTCCCGGCTACAGGAACTCGTACCTTTTTTCCTGATGGAAGTGGAGAAGTCTTTGTGTACACAAGCCTATTGCTTGGAAATCCCTGACAGCCTCCACTGAGTTCAAGTGTTCTCTCTCTCTCATTTAGACCCTCTCCATCAAATGGAAGCCACAAAGCCCAACGCAAGGTTACAGTTTGATTCTGAGATCGCATTAAACTTCCAGACAAGGATGGCTAACACACAATGCATCAATAGTAATGTTATGTTGGGTTTGTAACCATATTACAGCTGTATCAATGACTAACACTGATAATAATTAACAATTATTCATCGAGCCCAAATGGGCTCTGAGTCAATAGCCCCTGAGGCCGAAGGTTGAATGGGCTATTGACTCAGAGGCCACAAGAGCGAGAGGAATTATTGTTTTAGTAAAATCCAACTAGTTGGTCAAAAATATCGAAACAAAACAACTTTAGCTAGCAAAACGCGATTCAGCCAAACATTGTTTTGGTTTTCAAGCCAGTACTTTTCACTACTAGTGGGTTATAACATATAGCCTAGTAGTAGCTCAACCAATCAGAATGCAGCATAATAATGCCATTGATAACAGACACTAGTTGGATTTTACTAATATCCACTAGCAAACACCAACTGCCAAAATACCTCAATACAGTGTGGTACCACATGACCAAGAACATGAATCAACTGTTTCCCCAGATGTACAAGAATGTACTTCCTAGCAACTGGTAATGCTGAGTGGCAGTGGTCAAATTTTCATTAAGTTTTGTTAGGTAACTGATTTCCCACTCAAAAGTTAACATATGATACTGTACATCTAAAATCCCTTGGGATTTAAAGCATTTTTCTGGTAAGCACTGGCAGGAGTGATCACAAGTCATTGCCTAAGACAACTTACTGACTGAGAAACATCTTCATTTTAAAAAATGAGTGAAAAGACACCATACATGTAGGTGAATACATTGTGTGTAAAACAACTACAGTACAAGTCATGTAAATTGGGATTGTGTAATCTGAGGAGATGACTAAGAACAAATCTATAATAGAATAAGGAAAAAACCTGAGCAGGACTATTGCAAATACAATGTACCTCCTCGGACACCTCTGTAATTCAAAGTATCTTGAACAAAAATAATGCTTAACAAATCTTAACTCTGCAGTACCTTAACCTTAGTTGACTGTCCCTTTACATGTACCTACAATCATTGACAAAAGTGTTGAGAAGGTTGCATTTTTAATCTCTTTTTTTCTTCCTCCCCCCGCCCCTGGCCCAATGTTGAGCAAAATGTTAATGTTTGTGCGCTTAATTATTCTGTTATATCCCAACATTGAATAGGGGGGACGGGGGATAGTTAGCAAATTGGAAAACTCTCTTTTTTGAGGATTAAAATGGACTACTATTAAGTTGTACAACCTTCGCAACTACTTTTGTCTGTGACTGTCGGTAACAGTTAACAGTTATAGTAAACTCGCAGGTTTTTACTGACAGTAATATTACCAACCTTTTTTCGTTTGGTCTCAATCAGAGGTTGAGCAAATGGCTCAGACATAACATACTCCAGTTCAAATACAATAGCAAACAGGGGGTGATGAACAAGTTCCTTAAGCTCTAGTCGACTACGCAGAACCAAAGAAATAATTTTACCTGAAAAAAATGATTGATGTACAACAGTCCAACACTAATTAAATTAATGGTTTCTGCATCTTGAAAACTTTGGATCCCTCTTTGGAATTTATGTCAATCTCTCCCTTTCTTATAAATCTTTCAAGTTTACTGGAACCTAAAAATTGATACTTTGAGATTTCCCTCAATTTAACTCTACTTGGCATTATTTTTGCATTGAAAAAATTAATGATGAGTCACAAATAAAGCTCAACAAAGCTCAATTTAAAAATAAATGTACCATGCAAACAAGAGAGTACTGTGTAAAATAAAGGGTACTCCTAAGTTACCATGTAAAGATGACTGGGATGCAGCTGATTTTTTGCCTGATTTTCCTCCCTCATACTCAGGCTCCAGGTAGACAATGTGAGGGTCACTGACAAACTTCCAGCCATTATGTACTGACACCTGTTTAGAGAAAATATCAAATTAATAAAACAAGATTTATTTAAAACAATGTTAAAAAAGTTGTAACAACATTTTCAGAAAAAACAACTACAAACCGGACTTTGTTACAACACCTCCGACCTCAACACTCAGTCCCACGTTAACTCTCACCCTGTTTATATGACAGTGACTATTCCTTATGTGAGAGGCAACTCTGAAACTATTACAGGAATCCTACAACCTAACAGCATTGTATGTTACACACAAACCAATGATCACTTTACAACAACTACTTACAAATTAATGTCAAAGACAAAGACAGCCCAGAGGGCAGACTGGGAGGAGAGCAAAAAACTAAATGTTAGGATACATTCTACAAACTACTACCAAAATCTTACTTAGGAAGGCTTGTTTAATATCATAGGACAAACACCTCTGAATCAAAGTTAGCTGTTATCTGTACCTTGCAAATGACTCATTGAGAACTCAAGCAAAAATGACAACAAATGAGTGACTGAACAAACTGACAACTTGACTAACAGTAAGGACCTTTAGGGAGCATCTCCAAATTTCGGAAGGTCGATCTTCCGATTGTTCGGACGTCATATCGGAAATTTTAGTACACATTTCCGATCAAATCGGTAGATCATCAGTGGTTTATCGGATTTGTGGTATCGGAATTCCGAAAGGTCAACATCCGACACATGTACACGTCAGTACATCAACTGAAATTAGATCATGTTCGTAAAAAATAAGTTCGTAAAGGTCAAGCTCATTATCACGCTAGATCTACCTGCAGATCATGCAAAAAATACGAAGTCGTAAATGTCATCATTTCGTTGAATATTCTATGTTTATGAGCTCTACAACTGCAGGAGGTGAATAATATGGCGGAAAAAATGATCGGCCTTCGGTGGAAAAAATTTTCGTGCCGACACGTTACAGTTGAAGAGATTGTACAAGAAATTTGTTACAATTAGTGAAGACACGTTCCTCCAACGAAATGGGGAAATCGATTTGCATCTGTATAATGTCGTTGGAAAAGCATGTACGTTGTTGGTGACGATTTTGCAGATGAAAGTTCGCACAAAACCAAAATATGCACTGAAGCCGATATAGGAAACATACTGGCCCTGAGTTGTTTGCTGATCGCCGAATGTAAACAATGTCTTTTGTTTTACGCACGTCAAGACCTCAGCTAGCAGGGAAGGAACACAATGGCAAATAAAAAAATGCAGTTTTAGAGCACGATATGAAAATATGAAAATGAGGCATGTTCTCCGCATGTTATATCGTTTTTTTTTTTTTTTGCTTTCTTCAAGTCGAAGCCCGATCCTTTTCGTGACTAGATTGTAATGGTCCGTGCCCTCCGTCGACAGATTCACATACATCACGTAACCTTATCTTCATTGAGCTTGGAGCACTGCTTTTGGCATGACTAAATTTTTTCAACCATTCATGCGAATAAATGAGGCAACAAGAACAGTATTCTTGTGAAACGAGCGGCTCTCGAGAGAAATAAAGGAAATGATAGTATGGATCTGAGCCAGTGGGGTGTTTCGCCCTCTTTGTGTTAATAGCGTGTATTGAATGTAGAGTTGATGTTGATATCGTGTCGTTCGGATTACGGATCACTTGATGTTTTATGACTTTGCCGTCCGACAATCGCTCAAAGACAATTATCACGTGCAGTCTGAATTCCATTTAGTAAATTTGCCACAGTCTAGGTTTTAGTTGTTTGTTTGTTTGTTTGTTTTTTCTACTTTTTTCACGAGCTTAAAAAATAAAATAGCTCATTCACACAATTAATTTCACTTGCTTTCTTCTGCTTTCGTAACTGAAAGGTGACATTTATTTTCTTCAGTCGCCCAGGTTGTTTTCGTTTGCCATCTGCCACTTTGCAGTGTTCTTCAATAACGATTGTTTTTGTCCTGCAATAGCACAAGATCCCGTCATTAAAAATACGATTGTTTCATTCAGCCTACTTTTTATTTTGTTCACTTTGACAATTTCCAAAAGCGCTTTTAATTATTACAAAATGAAACTTTACATTCCCAGATTGATTTTTTTCCCATGTGCACGTCAGTGTTTCCATCATTTGAAATGTCTCAAAATTAATATGTCCTTTTGAAAATAATGCAGAAAACACGGTTGACGGTTATTACATTGGTCTTTTCAGTGGTTCACTTTGCATTGGCCTTAGTATTTTGATAGCCTTGAGGCAAGAGGGAAACTTTTCTTAATGTTCATCACTCTCATCATCAGACACTCTGAACACTTGATCCACCTCAATCAGTTCTTTCAAGGCATCAACACCAATCTTGATAACTGTTTAGGAAAATAATGCATGGGATTATTATGAACAGCTAAATTCGAAACTCTGTATAATGAATAGTTTCCTCGAATTTTAAGCTGTATTATGCTATAGGAAACTTAAGAGGCCCAATAAAGATGATAGCGTTCTTTATTACAAAGTACTTGCGCTAGGTTATTACAATTGGATGCCGAGGGAGCTAAAATGTGTGTTACACTTATTTACATTGAGATGTTTTCATTTTTTCCGTCGAGGTACGTTCCTAGATGCTGATAATGAACAAAACGATGGTATCTGTATTACTATCGTTGCGTTTTCATGGTTCCTACAATCTTGAACTAGGTCTTTTTGCCGAGGAAAATTTGGTTCATCCTAGGTGTAAGAACCTGTAAAACTCAGAGTTAAAGTAAAAACATTTTTGTGCGAGAACAATTTTTATTTCAATTTTTTTATTGTTTCTTTGAAATGCTCCTTCTGTACCTCAGATGCAATTGCAAGTTACTTTGCAAAGTGTTGTTGCGGGTGGTAAAAAAATAATGTGATCAACTGTGGTTGGGGAAGTAAAAATCGTAAATGACTTCATGACGTGTTATAGCCATGCATGAGGAGTTCAAAAGGGGGTTAAAAATGCCGATTTTTAATTTTTGAAGAAATCTTAGTCCTTGAAAACAGCTAAAAAAGTCCTTGAAATTTATTTGCCTGAAGGTGTACGAACCATAGCTTTGCGGGTTGACTAGCAACTCTCCTTTTGAGACTTTTGACATTCGAGCCTGAGTATTAAAACTTACGTTCGAATGTTCGTCGCAGCTCGTTCCTACGCGGTTGTTGATGGTCATCGTAGGGATCGGACAAGTCTTTGCATTCGGCATATAAACAAAACGCACTCTTTAACGACTCCAGAGCATTTTCGAACTCTCTCAGCGACGCCATGGCTGCTGTTTGGGGTGTTAAAGGCTTACTTGCCATGTTACCAGAAAGAGGAAAACTGAAAGTTGTTTTCACCTCCAGAAGATCACACTAATAGCCTTCCGGTCTTCCCTTGCAATGGGCTTGTCATGAACTGGTTTTCTGTCACGAAATGATAATAAACCCTTCGTGTATAGCATGCGTTGTTGTTTATAATTTTATTTCCACAACCAATTCCATTGAGAAAAGTAGTAAGAACCCTTGATTTCGCGGGTGGTTTAGTACTAAATACTGTCTCCCAGAAAAACAAAGTAATTCCCCGCGTAGTATGTATTAAAAAAGAATTGCGAAAAAAAGAAGAAGAATTACAAACTGACCAGATACCACTTTATTTTTGGTTAGTGGAAGATCGGAAACACGATAAAGCCTACCTAACACGCACGCTTTACCTAACACGCAAACTTGCATTTGAAAGAGTGTATAAAAAAGTGGCTTTTTGGTTTTGAAACATACTTCCAAATAAATTGGAAGTTGCGAAGTGAAGTCAGCGAACTGAATCTCCAGACAGAATGTCTAGTTTTAGATCTCGTCTCAAGGTTCCCCGCTATGGACTTTTTTACTTTGAAATTGATAAGACATTAAGTATTTTACCTTCAAACAAGGTGAAGAAGGTAGTTCAGGGTGACAACACCTCCGAGGGAAGTATCGTTGAAGTATACTTCGGCAAGGAAGTCCTAACAGCAGAGATCATCGCTGTCGATGGTAAGTCGTATCTTTCATTTTAGCCCTCTTGACTCGCACTTCTTTTAGTGGTATCCGATGCTTCCTTGATTCTCGACCGAGCTCCCAAAGCGACTCAGTATTTCAGAACTGTTTTATTCCATTTTCCTGTACATTGAATACTGGATTTCAGAACTTCCCACCGTAACCTGTTGCTAAATAGCCTGTTTGCCTAAAGTTTTGACCAACTCATTCATGTCTCTGTATACTGAACGTTTACAGATGAAAAGAGCAATCTAGATCGCTTGTCGATCAATTTCCTGCAAGATCCGAGGAACAAGCATCGCTTTCCTGATGATGATGATGAGACGTCCGAAGAAGAGCAGGAGATTATCAAAGAAGGAGCCAACAAGCAAAATGTAAGCCTTATCTCCATTTATCGCTAATGTGTCTCTGAATATCTGCGGTTCATTCGGTTAAGCGAAGCATATATCTCTAAGCCAAACATTATATTCAGCCCTACAGGTTTTTGCACTTTAATCATTTAGCATTCAACAGCAACAAAATTGAGTAGCCTTAAGAGATTTTACAATGTTAACATGGAAATTTACTTGAAATGAAAATTAGATGTTAATTGAAATCCGGTCTGGCTAATGTGCAAAGGCACGCGATTCATGTGCGCCAGGAGACGTCAACTCTCAGTTGTACCAATAAGCGAGCTAGCGAGTCCTTTCATTGTACTTGAATTTTTTGTAAACAGTAAAACTGCTGAACAAAAATTGTCTACAAAGAAAATAAAAACGTCTCGCGTTGTTCCGTGCAGTTCTGAAGAGAGATGTTTAGAAAATGTGTCAGTTAGGGTAGTGTTGTGTGCGCCTTTCAGTTCCAAAAAATAACGATAAAAGCGTCACAAGCATAGCTTGTTTTGTGTGAAAATGGTCAAGTATTTATATTAGTATGGAAAGGAGTATTTTTTATGGTCAAGTAGTTCACCTGCAGTTTTTAAATACATTTTCTCATGTTCGCATGACTCGCTTCTTTATAGCTCGCATGCTCTCAATGGATTCCCATGACCCGCTGACTCGTACATTGGTCAGACCCGGGATCTGACCATTACACTCATAAGATCTTTTTAATTGTCTAATTTCGACTTCAGCCCAAGAGGTACAGTGCAAAAAATATATGTATATGGAAAATGTGGTTTTGAGTGGACACTAACTATATTATTTATAGTTTTATAATTCGCTGTGGCTATATGGCCGGTGTAAACCGCTCAAGGTTTTCAAACTACTAAATGACCGGCAGTCCTGTCTTTTCAGTACTAAAAAAAAGCAAAAACAAACTATCATATGTCGATAAAGAAAAGTCAAGGGATCCTGAAATGCGTTATTCAATTCTCGAAGCAATTTGCCTGCAATTACTTAAAACCATTTCTCATTTTTATGTTTCGGGGAGAAAATTTAAGCCGTAAAAGTAAGTCTAAATTACAATTACACTTATGACAATAAATAACAATCACATGTACTTATACTTAGATTTTTAAAGATTTTTTTTATTCAGTGTATTTGTGAAGATTTGTTAATGTTCTTAAGCTCAACTTTCGATTTTGACTTCTTCTCGAGTGTATCGGCTACGAACTGCAGGCCGTACATGTACACGAAACCAGTCGATTGGATTAACAAAAAGGTACCCTGGTCCCAGAGATTTTTCTAGATGATTGTTCTCGGCTTCAGAGAAACATCTTACTCGCCGCTTCGCAACTCGTTTTCGCCGCTTCATGGCTCGTTCTCTTTGACGCGGAGAAACATCAAGAAAGACCTCTGAGACCAGAGTAATTGAAATGTATGGCTTTTACTCTAAAAACTGCAGTTGTATGATTGTGTCTCCAAAGGTTTTGATAAGCAAGAAACCTGAGGAAAACGTGCAGTCAGAAGACAAACAGTGCAAGACCTTAAGCCCTGGAAGTGAGCGAGCCGACTCAAAGAGCACACACCAGGATGAATTGGCAAGGATTGCACCATCCGTATCCAATGAGCTAGATTTAAGTCCAAATTTAGCAGCGTATGAAAATGACTTTGACTTTGATGACTGGGAAGGGAGCTCTGATGTTGTGACGGTGACCGATTCGCAACCATCATTTGCCACCAAAAGTGACATAAAAAGGCTTGAAGCAAAACAAGAGCTTTTATTAGAAAACCAAAGTCAAATCATGGAAACTCTAACGGGGATTTCAAATCTTTTGAAAGAAAAGGCGAAAAAACGAGGAATATTACGGGTTAATGAGCCCAGCAGCGGCACTAGTTCGGCTAAATCCGTGAAGATTATTGAACGCCCTGTCCCAATTCTGCACAGTACACCCCTGTCAAGTTCAGTTGAAGTGTCGACTTTTGTAGAATCTGATATGTCTGATGAATATTTGCAGGGTCAGGAATCAATAAGTGGGGGCAGCTTGGAAAGCGAACCGGCCAAAAGCCGTTCTCCTGTTCCGGTTGATTTCACTATAAAACAGCACATTTCTGAAACGTCTCTTGGGAATACCAACCCGAAAAATAAGAAAAAGGAAAAGGCACCGTTGACAGCAGAAGAACAAAAAGTGCGCACGGAAAACAAAGCATGTCTGAAAGATTTGTGTGACATGGTAGGAACTTCCTATTCAAAACCAGAGTTAGCTGAGTCGAGTTATGAGGGCGGGAAGAGAAAATATAATGGGAGAGAATTCGAGAAAAAGGGTCTCTCTCCGGGTAGAATGAAGAAAATTTTGAAATCTGTATCCCAAAAACATCCAGAAGCGTACGCGAGACTAAAAGACACAACTGAACTAAGGGAAGCGGTCAATATGAAGTGTCGAAAAAGTCGAAAAACGTCTAGCAAGGCGAAAGACGTCGAATCGTCATTTGCAAATCAGTCATGAAAGAAATTTCAAAATATGGGATTATTCTTGTGATTTATTTCCAGCTGTAGCTAAGGTTTAATTAAGCAGCTCATTTCTCAAAATATGCACGGTTTGTAATTAGTCATTTTATCACGCAAATTTCCTGTTACTCACAGTTACATGTGTTCTATCAACAATTTAATTACGCTCTTAAAAATATGTGACCAGTGCATGCAAAAATAATAAAATAAATTACAAACGTAGATTTTACAATTGTTTATGAACATTCTTGTTAAAATAATGCCACTGACAACTCGGGTTCCTTTACAGTGTTGCATAATTGATATTCAAAAAAATATTACAATTTCGGCTTTTAACGCAAAGATATTAAAAAAAATACAAATCTGCATGGCATTATGGTACATTTGAGAGGCTTTTTGGGACGATGGTCCGCCATTCTATTTATTCTTGTGACTCATTAAAATATTGTGACGTTTCTCGTCAGCTTTAGAGTTGAAAACATAGCGGCAATTATCTTTTGGGCAAGCAGGCTGGCTTGCTTCCTTCAAACTTGGGAGACACTCCTCAAAATCACGAACAAGGGGCATCTTTATATGCTGCAAAAGGGTGGAATAGTGCCCTCTGTAGACTGTGCTGGATTCGGGAAATGGAACTACTCCACCGTGCTGCTTAATAAAGTTAAAAAAATTTACTGCTCGGATTGGTGTCTTTGCGCAGTGATCACACTGTGAACTAACGCACTTTACAAATTCAATTTGATACGTTTTCCTCGTCAGATGTCCCATAAGAAATTGATACTCGGAGCGGCAATTTTCCATGTTAGGATCGCTTTTGATTTTTTTTTCACTACTGTTAGCTAAAGCTTTTAGTAGTTCATGGTCACTAATTTGCGCCTCTTGAGATCGAGATTCGATGCATGTGACCCGAACTGGAAAAGAATCAATCTTCTTTCCATCCCAATATTTGCTGCACTTACGGCACGCTTCGTCGAGAACCTCAGCTTTCCTGTTACGAATCTCATTTTCACTTTGCCCTGCAAAATCCACCCAGGGAGAGGTTTTCAGAAGGTCACGTTGTTAGTGCTTCTTGATTTAAGCGCCGCGTTTGATACCGTGGACCATAGGATTCTCTTAGATCGCCTTCAGTTTGATTTTGGAATTTCAGGCTCTGCACTTAATTGGATTGAATCGTACCTTTCTAACAGAACCCAGCGCATCTATATAGACGGAGTTCTATCGAGTAATTTTAATCTTAAATTTGGAGTTCCACAAGGCAGCTGTCTCGGGCCATTATTGTTTTCCCTCTATGCTAGTAAACTTTTTAAGATCGTCGAATCACATCTTCCTAATTCCCATTGTCATGCAGATGACACGCAACTGTATATCGCGTTTAGATCAGGAAATGATTTGGAGGAGACCGCTGCTATAACTGCCATGGAATCATGTATTGCTGATATCAGTAGATGGATGCATTCGGATAAGTTAAAACTGAATTCCGATAAGACAGAATGTCTTCTGATTGGAACACGACAACAACTTCAGAAAGTCAGTAACATTAGTACCTTATCGGTTGGGGACTCCCAAATTGCTCCATCTTCTGAAGTTCGAAACCTAGGAGCTTGGTTTGATTCTAAAATGAGTATGCTAAGTCATATCAACAAAACTTGCTCATCCGCTTTCAATTATCTTTATAACATGCGTAGAATTAGGAAATATTTAAGTCGTTCAGTCACCGAATCATTAGTTCATGCTTTTATCACCAGTAGAATAGATTATTGTAACAGTCTACTATATGGCCTCCCGAATTCACATATCATGAAACTCCAACGGATACAGAATGCCGCGGCTCGGTTGGTCACCGGAACACCTAGATTCTGCCATGTTACACCATTGCTTTTCCACCTTCATTGGCTTCCAATAAGTTACCGTATAAAGTTTAAGATTCTACTTTTGACATTTAAGTGCTTATATGGTCAAGCTCCTAATTATCTAATTGATTTCATTACTACCAAAAAGCAATCCAAGTACTCTCTAAGGTCAAATGAGTCTATATTCCTCGAGTTACCATGCATTAAGACCCATCCAACTCTTGGCGATCGTGCATTCCAGTCAGCTGCACCTTATCTCTGGAATGCATTACCTTCGGAAATTCGCAACATGAAGACATTGGACACTTTTAAGACTGCTGTTAAAACTCATTTTTTCAATTTAGCTTTTAAATAGATTTAATTGTTGGCTTTTATTTATTTATTTTTATTTATAGTTTTAATACTTTTTATTGTAGTTTTTAATAGTTGCTCATGCTTTAGTCACCTTTAACATAAATTTAATATAACAATATTGTAAAGCGCAACCAAATATATTCATATAGAGGTTTGCGCTATATAAATGTAAATTATTATTATTAAATTATTATTTTCCCTTCCAAGGAAATCGGGAGAGTAACACCAGTGAGCCATCTTGAAAGAGGGGCCCAGCTGCGTTCTATGGGATTGTAACGACTGTGTCCCGGGGCGTAAGATGTGAGGATTAAGATGTCGAGGTTTAAGTCTCGCCACAACCTTCCAAAGTTGATCAAATTGGGCGTAGACTTTGGTGACCAGTCTGGCCCTCCGTCACATATGATAGTGACTGCTTTTTTTCCTTCCTTTGAAACAATTGGTTGCAAAATTTTTTTTAGGTTAAACACATGCATAGCGCTTGTGCTCTCAAAAAACATTGATGGATATAACAATACATTAAGTGAACCCGATCTAGGCCACCTTATTCGTTCTCTACCCAGAGTATCTATAAATATTTTGTCCTTTGAATAACACCTATAAGAGAAATTGTTTGGAGGAGCTGATAAGGAACGGCGTTTTTTTTTTGGATTCGTCTTCCTCGGCGAAAGACTCCTCGATCGCCTATTTCTTGATCTAAGTACTAAATATCCAGCTGGAACAATTTTGGCATTGGTATAAGGAAAATCGTGATCGGGGTAGTTGGGTTGATCGTTCGTGGCAAATATATTGTTGATAGAAAAATGCCTACTGACAGCCAAAGTTCCTACGTTGACCTTGTTCTTGTCATCTGCTGAAATGGCTATTGTCTCATCTGAGAACAATTCAGCGAGCTCTCCAACAAAATTCACTTGAGCTGAACTATAGTGAAAGTCTGCGTGAATTTTACTAGTTAGGTCATTTCTC